CTATATACTCAGAAGTCAAAAAATTTAATGACATCTTAGATCTAAAGTTTTTGATGCATGCATTATTCTGATATTAACTTATGCGGCACAAACATGGACAATCACAAAAAAGAATATGAATATACTTAGAGTCACTCAACACGCGATGGAAAGAGCAATGCTAGGTATATCACTTAAGGACAAAAAAACAAACACATGGATAAGACAGAAACCAAAGTCACCGATGTGGTGCAAAAATCATTAAAGTTGAAATGGGAATACGCTGGACATGTAGCTAGAAGCGATCTAAACAAATGGCACAGATCAATTTTAACCTGGAGACCATATCAACATAAAAGACCCAGAGGCAAACCTCCTATGAGATGGACAGATGATCTGAAAAGGACTGCCGGGAAAAATTGGCTACAAGTAGCGTACAATAAAAAACAATGGAAAGGAAGACTTAAAGAGGCTTACGTTCAGATGTGGACGTGAATGGCTAGACGAAGAAGAAGTCCATTGTAATGTTCTTATGTATTATTCTTTTGGATATATAACGGCAGTTATTTGTGTGTGTGTGTGTGTGTGTGTGTGTTTTTTTTTTATTTTTATGGACAAGTATATCTACGCCTGCTCGTGCTTGTTCTTCTTTCTTCACTCCATTGTGTGCTAAAAATATTGGCTATGGAAAGAACTAAAATGCTCTAATCTGATTGGGGGTTTCTTGATTGTGTCGGTTCTTTGAGCCTTGTTTTCTTCTACAGTGGGTAGGATGCTAACTTGGCCCATCAACCCCGCTCTTTTATCCAGGCTTGGGACTAGCTGTGGGCATGAACGCGGCTTCTAAGCAATATAAACAACTCAATCCACCCAGTCCTCACGCTCATAACCGCCAGGCAGAGTTAACATTTAACAGTTATAACAGATAGGAGAGAGATAACAACCCTATGTCTAAAAATTAGCAAAATATTAGGAGTTAATGTTCCTCAAATGAATTATTTTAATGTTAGTTTGATTACAAAGGTTAGATGCTGCTTTTGTCCTCGTTGAAAGTATCGAAAAATAGTTCCGCTTGTTCATTGTGTCATAAACCCTACTGTTTGGAACATTGAGCTCAATTATGTTATGTGTGTTAGAACCAAAGTTGAAGTGCCTGGTAAAAAGTAAAAAATAGATTTGTAATAATATGTTTTATTTTAGTTTAAAGAGTTTTTAAAAGAAAAAAAGAGTTTTATTTTTATTTCACGTTTTACGTTTATCGAACCTAATGAGAAATGTGTCTATAATATTTTGAAAGTTAGACATTGTCGTCTATTGTTTTGTACTACATACTGCAGAAAAATAAGTAAATTACATTTATTGCTAAAAAACACTTAAAGCTTTCGAGACCCCACTGTGTACTATACGTTAGATGAACGAACTGTGCTGTTCTAGGGTCAAGATAACAAAGTAACGTTTTGATAACAACAAAATATAGTCCCGATTTAAAATATTTCATCTATGATAGACATTTTTTAACTGATATAAGCTTAATTTACCGTCGATTCTAGCATTATAATCTTTACTAGAACATTCATTAAACCGAGATAAGATAAAAAACATAAAAATTGGCCAAATTATTTTCCTAAAAATAGACGTAATGATTTTCGGAAAAAGGCGATAAGCATCAGAAAAATATGAATTTTGTGTTACTATGATAATTAGCAAAAATAAAGAATTTTTGTTTGTTTGGGTTTATACAGTGTGCCAATTTTAAAAATTTTATGGATTATATCTCATGAACAAAAGCTTATATCGAAAACTCCTTGAACTAGCAGAGGAAGGGGGAACTAAAATGACATGAAAACAAACTCATCCCCATCAACCACCTATGCTCCACCCACCATAACCAAAAAGTTTCAATTGCAAACCTCTACTTGCGATACGCCAAAGACTATAAAAATGCTATCCAATGGTATAATTGATGATTATACAGGGTAAAGCAATAATTGTGAAACTTTGGCTTAAATGAAAATTTTATATAATTTGTCGGATTTTATATCGGAATAAAAACTTAATTTGTCGTTTTTGCAAATCAAATTAAAAACATTTGGGTTCTGTCAGATACAATAATTTTTGGTTTATTTCAGAAGTTTAAATGTCATAAGTTTTCATCATTTGTACGATCGGTACTGCCTCGGAATACCTGAATGCGTGGAGATCATGTTCATATTTGCCTCCCAGAACCAGTGTTATTTACGAACAGCTCAAATATTTCATGAAAGGCATCCGGACAAAAATGTAGCAAAATAAAAAAAGGAATACTCCAAGATTACTCAATGAAGCATCCCGAATTGAGGTCCTTGGAAATTTTGCAGTAGAGCCTACTGCATCAACACGTCAAGTATCTTCAATGACAGGACTTTTACATGAGTCGGTTAGAAAGGTGTTGAAATTACATAAGTTTCCCGTACAAAACACAAAGTTCCACGAGGAAACTAAGTTCCTGTAGCTGGCTGTATACCATATATCACAAAAAAAAATTTTGTTTAAAATCCTTTATAAAAGGTATATAAAAATTTTTATATACCTTTTATAAAGGATTTTAAACAAAACACAAAGTCTTCAAGAAATAGGCGATGATGATCCAGACCGACGAATTGAGTTTTGTGAACTCATGACTGAAAGAATTCGCGTTGAACCGAGAATGTTAAAAAATATTTGTTTTACTGATGAATGTACTTGTATGCTGAATAATAATGTAAATAAACAAAACTGTCGGTACTGGAGTGATGCGAACCCACATCAATTCAATCAAGGTCACATTCAATATCCTGAAAAACTGAATGTTTGGGCAGGAATATTAGCCGATGCTAAGATCGGCCCCAGGTTCATACCAGGCAATTTGTGGTGACATTTATCTCGATATACTGGAAAAACCACCTAACCTTTCATTGTATATGAATTAAAAAACCAGAGAGATGATCAAGGCAACCTAGCTCTAGACGAAGATTTGCTGCATTTACAACAATATGGAGCACCTCCTCACTAAGCAGCTCCAGTTAGGCACTGGTTAGATACTAATTATCCTAACAAATGAAATCGCTCTATTACTAGAACAACATTTGCCAAAGTTCGTGCAGAATTTGAAAATAGGCTGTATTATTGTTTACAAAAAAAAGACCTCACTTTGAACATTTATTTAATTGACATTTTTAACAAGTTTGTAGTTTAACAAAAACCTCATTAAATTGTGGTGAGTGGGGCCTAGGGGGTTGATGGGGGTGAGTTCTCTTTCATGTCATTTTAGTTCCCCCTTACTATCCTAGAAACGGTTTCAAGCATTTTTCGATATCAGCTTTTGTTCATGATATATAGCCCATTGTAAGTTTTAAAATTGACACATAGTATGACTGGACACTCGTAAATCCTTTCGCCAATTTTACAATTTTTTACTTATTAGAATACAAAAACAATTACACTAAAAGGCAGTTCTTGGAAATTTGTTATATATTTAAACACCCTTATCTAGTTAAAAAGAGAACTGGCACTAGTAACTTGAGTAAAATTTATCATTCCTTAATTTTACATATTTCAACAGCACTTTGGATTTAACTTTCAGATTCCATATCTTTGCTTATTGAAATTGTTTACTATTAGAATAGAATAGAATAGAAATATGCTTTATTGTCACTGAAAATTGTACAATTTTATGGACAAAGCTTACAAAAAGTAAAAAGAAATAACAATAAGATCAGCCAGAAATTTTGCCAGTGGTTGTAACGGTGATCCAATAGAGCTGACTTTGGTCGTAATGAAAACCTTCCTTTATGCACCTTGGGTAAACCGCAAAGTTTTGGACCTCTTAATGATTCTTCTCGTGAAATAAGCTGAGACTGTTGTTCTTTCTTGATATTTGACGCTTGTACTTATAATACATAAACTGCATTCTAACTGCACACAGTTACATCAATACAACTGTCCGCATATCACTGAAAAAGCAAGGCTACATATCAAGGAATCCAAAAAAATCCCTACAATGACACCTCTACAAAGGCAATGAAGACAAGATTTTTGTCAAAGTTTTCGACAAGATAATTTTAATAATGTCTTTATATCTGATGAAAGTTGTTTCTAGCTTGGTGCAAATCATCTAGAAGTCCTATCAAGAGAAAATGTTACTGTTCAAATTTCCAAATTTCTCACTAAAATAATGGTTTGGGGAGCAATATCTCAGGGTGGTCCTGCACCTCTCTGTATAGTTAATGGTACTGTTAATATTGTTACATCCTGAATGGTTTTCTTCTTGAAACGGTTCATGTTTTATATCCAGAGGGGTGGCGTTTTCAGCAAGTTAATGTAAGATGTCATACTTCTGCTTATACCCAAGCTTGGATGCAAAAACACGAATTGGTAACAATACCGTGACCAGCAGCATCTCCAGATCTTAGCCCAATTGAAAACATATGGAAACTGATTAAGATTAAAGTGGAACGAGCAGCGCCACGAGATAAAGAAGGTTTGATTCGGTCAGTTTTACAGGCCTGGAACACCATCATCGAAAATTATGGCCTTGACCTAGTTTCGTGTGTACCTGGACGTTTAGTTAAGTGTTTAGATTTAAATGGAGGTTGTATAAGTAAATGAGATGAATTTTTTGTTGAAATTTTATATTTCAAGTCATAGAAATAAATACCGTAAAATTATAATTCTGCTTTCTTTTTTCCGGATACTTTCTAGACGGACTATATATATATATATATATATATATATATATATATATATATATATATGTATATGTGTGTGTATGTGTGCGTGTGTGTATTTGTAGTATTTGCTGCGATGAATCAATAATTTATATAACAGCTACTTGAAATTTTTTCTCAGGTAAATATCAACTTTTAGTTTTCCTTTTTAGATAGATACCCTTAGCTAAATTAATAAGTATCTGTAAATAATTCAATTATTTACATACTTTATCTAAACGAGATAACAAATCAGTCGGAGCTAAATGTTTTGACTATTAACGCCCGAGTATTAATTTGCAACGGTACCGTGAAAAAAGTTTTAATGGCACATGAAAGTAAAAAAAACCTAAATAATGGTTAAATTCTTGCGGGTGAGTACTTTAAAGACTTGATTGTTAACATTCAAACCTCTCATTCTACCTGTCATTATTTGCTTATTTTAACGGAAAACATATTGTTTCTTAAATTGTCAAAAGTTATTTACTCCAGTCGTCAGAGACGAAAATGCCACTGAACCACTAAAAATCATACAAACAGCTGAATTTAGCCCAAAAAAGATGCAAAATAGTTTACCACTTTTACTTCCGGGCTTCCCCCTAAAACACTTATCGCAGAGGGATAAAAACGCAAAAAAATCGATTTACCAAGAATCTGTACACCGTAGAAAAAAATATTTCAAATAAAAAATGAATTATTTTTTTTATTTTTACGCGCAACAGGCCGTTAAGGCCTATGGCATTTTTTTAAACATAATCCTAATATTAACTAATTACAATTATTTTAAACAAAACTTTAACTTATAATATTATAATATTATAATATTTAAATATATATATATATATATATATATATATATATATATATATATATATATATATATATATATATATATACAACATTCTTAACTACTAACTACTCTGAAGGACCTGCTGGACAATATTTCTCAATTCGCTTCTATTTTGTGCTTTTTTTTTCCAGTCCCTGACCTTCACGTGTTTAAGGTCTTCCTCCACTTTACTAATCCACCCCGTTCTGGGTCTACCTCTTCTTTTGGAGCCGATTAGTTTTCTGGTTATTACTAGTTTATTCATTCTGTTTGCTGCCATTCTTTTTGCATGTCCCAACCATCTGATTCTTTATGACTTGACGAAATTGGTAATAGTAGGTCATTTGTATAAAGCCATTAATTAATTGTTGGTTCTTCTCTACCAACCATCTTCTGTCTTCCGTCCTCCGAATATGCGTCTCAGTATTTTCCTTTCCCATCTTTCCAGAGTATCCTCTTCATTCTTATTTAATGTCCATGTCACACTAGCATATGTTACTGTGGGTTGAATTACTGTTTTATATATTCTGAGTTTACCTTGTCTAGAAACGTATTTTGAGTTTAGTAGGGCTCTTAAACTACCTAATTTTTTATTCCCTTTTGCTATTCTGGCTTCGAGCTCCCATTTCTCTTTTCCATTTTCATCGAAAACTACACCTAGGTATTGAAATTTGTCCACCCTTTTAAAACTATAGCTCTTACCACTTACAGACCTCACACTAAAGTCCCAAGTCACAGTATTTCCCTTCTGTCCCTCCCATGATCATATATTTGGTTTTGTCTTCATTTAGTTCCAATCCGAATGTCTGTGCTTCTTCGATGATTTTCTTCACAACTGTTCTTAATTCTTTCTCGGTTTTTGCTAGGATCGTTAAATCGTCAACAGATGCCAAGCATTGGTGCTCATTTTTCATGATCGCTTCTTCCACCTTCATGCTGCATTTAATGATTACAGTTTCTAACACTAAGTTGAATAATGTAGTGGATATCCCTTTATAGTCTCAAGCCTTTTGCAACCGTAAATTAATCTGATATGTGACCCTGCCAAACAATTTCACACGTAGAGTTATTTAATGTCATTTTAACTAGCAGGATCAGTATCTTTGGTATAACCAAATGTTCCATTGCTCGATACATTTTGATTCTATCGACTCTATCATATGCTTGTCTAAAATCCACAAACAAAACACGCAGGGGAACTTGACCTTCATAACAAGTCGTTTGTATCTCCTTTAATGAGAAGATTTGATCTACAGTAGATCTGTCCTTTCTAAATCCGGCCTTATACTCATGTAGGATTCTTTCCGTGTAGCAATTTAGTTTATTTCTCAATATTCTTGCCAAGATTTTGTATACCGTGTCTAGAAAGGCTATACCTCTATAGTTGTCACACTTCAGTTTGTCTCCTTTTTTATGCAGAGGGCATTGGCGGGCCTCATACCACTCCGATGGCATAATTTCCTTTTCCCATACTTGCACTAGTAGCTGATATATTGTTCTTTGAGTTGTTCTCTACCATATTTGATCATTTCTATGCATACATCATTTTAAACTTTGAAAATAAGGCTATTATCGAGCACAAATTAATTAAATCTAGCCCAAGTACTTTCGCTTAAAATAGCATCTTCAGGGGCATTTCGTCAAAATGTAAACTATCCGACAAGCGTAGAATGTGGAAACATTAATAGTGACATAAAATTGTACAAAACACTACACTAAAACGAGGACAAACAGTTTAAAATTACTTAAAGATTCTACGCTACATTCTCTGTCAGTATCTGGAGGGACAATCAAATATATCATTTTGACCAGGACTTCTGTTATTTTTCATTTCTTGTATTGCTGTCACCACATCCTCCTCTGTAGGCTGCCTTTCAACTATCGCATCTTCTCCAACCGTCCAGTTGTTTACTGCTTCGTGATCCACCTCACCATTTAATAATTCTTCAAAATGTTTTTTCCATTCCGTCATTATTTCTGTCGGATTCTGACGAACTACAGTGGCTTTGGTAACCTTTTCCCATCTTTTTAATTTCTTGATAGAACGCCTCACCTCTTTGTCTTTAAACTTCTCTTCGATCTCTTTTAATTTCAACTCATTGTGGTATCTCTGTTTCCTTCTACACGGAGCTTTCAATCTTCCTCGAATTATTCTACATTCTTGTTTTTTACACTCTCTATTATCTGTTAATATTTGGTGTCGATCTTGTTCTTTTCCTTTGCTATCGCCTGACACTCTTCGTCAAACCAATCTTTGTTTGTACTTCTCTTGGAGTCGCACTTAACTATTTTCTCGATAGCTTCTCCTACGGCAAATTTAATTTGTTCCCAGGCTTGATCTGTCTATGAATTTTGGTCACTCGTTTTGGTCACTATGATTTGACACTCGTTGATACAGTTAACAAACAATTGTTTTTGATAAATTCGGTGATAACAATATGTAATAAACAAAATAAACAAAAGATTAAACGTCATTTTTTACTTATAAACAAGATATAAACATTCAAGATTGCTATTTGATTTTAAATACTAAAGGTAAATTATATGGAAAAGTAACACAATTTTACTGAACCAGCATAAAAAATTCTTTAAAATAAGAGTTTGTAAAATTATTTTTATAGAAGCAAAGTTCTGCGGCAGAATGATTTTTTCTTGAGAGATGGCTTGAAATAAATATTTTATGGCTTCCGGATTATACCGACATTGAAACATTCAGTGGTTAAGATCGTCATAACTGCCATTACATTCACATATATCAGTTTCGGAAAGTTTTATTTTATATAAGTAAGCATTTACTGTAGCATGTCCAAAAAGGCATCTAACGTACATAGTATAAATTTTCCGAGAGATGGGACTTCTGTCACTTGAAGGAGTAGATGGAAGAGTTGGATATATACTGCAGTATGTATTTTTGCTACTGTTAGTAAAGGATTGCCACTCAATTTCCCAATTATGTCTAACATATTTCTGCCTAGCTGAAACTATATCCCATTTGGGCAACTAGTTGTACTCTATACCCACTAAAGTAGCGTCTTTAGCCAAATAATCTACTTTTTTAGCTTACTTTTTTAATATTACCTAAAATATTATAGTGACCTTTAACCCACACAAAGTTAACAATTCTTTTTAGAGAAGTTAAGATTCTTAGCTTTTTAAGCGCATCTACAATTAGTCTGATGGTATATATGTATTTAGAAAAGTGTTTTAATGCGAGGAGGACTGACTGTGACTCAGATAAAATTATATATCGTTCGAAATATAATGGGCTATTAATTATCCAATCCAACGCCTTGAAAATGGCTATCAATTCAGCTGTGAATATTGAGCAATCTGATTTTAATTTGTACTGAAAATAATCTTGAATATTGTCTATGTAAATGGCACAGCCAACACCAGCAGGCGATTTTGAACCATCGGTATAAATTTTACAAGAATGGTTGGAGTCTTCCAGCTTGTTCTGTACTACTAAATCTTCGTGAACAATTGAAATATATGAAGAAATTACTACAGTAGATTTATATTCATATAGTAAGTCATAATTGGAGCCAAATAATGGAATCCCTCCTTCATTAAATGAATATTGGGATAAATTAGGAAAAGCAACAGCTAGAGTTGGAGAGTTTTTATTTGCCCACCATTTGTTTGTTAAATTTTCGACAGAGAGTCAAGATATTTTTTGTAATACGCTGTTTTGATTATTAAACTGGGATTTAAGGATAAATTTTTCTGCCAAAAATAGACGTCTTAAATGTAAAGGTGGCTCGTTACATTCTACCAAAAGGGCTGGTGTGGGAGTAGATTTGAGAGCTCCTAGGACTAACCTTAAAGCTTTGTATTGTATTCGATCCAATTTAATCAACCGAGATTTTGTCTCTGATCCATAGAAAAAGCTTCCGTAGTCCAAAATTGATCTGGTATATGCTCTGTAAAATAATAAGTTAATTTTCGGGTCTGCTCCCCAATCGTATCGATTAACGGCCTTAAGGATATTAAGGCTTTTTCACATTGGTAATGCAATTATTAATATGCTCGTTCCAGGTTAATTTTGAATCCAAGGTAACACCTAGGTATCTAAAACTGTTATATACAGGAATTTCCAGCTGGGAGAATTTTAACGTACTAACTTTTGGTAACCTGTGTCTCGAAACAAATACTACACCTGACTTCTTAGGCGAGATGTCAAGCCCATGACTATCAAAATACTTTTTGCAATAGGACATATTCACTTTAAGGGCATTAACACATTGTTGAAAAGTTTTTTTCTCAACATAGAAACAGAAGTCATCAGCATATTGTAAAATGTTACACTGCATTCCTATAGTATGTAAGTTGAATTAATACAAGTTAAATAATAAGTGGCTAAGAACTGAGCCATGAGGTAACCCTTTGTTAACTGTCCTTGGACCAATCAGTGAATTATTTAAACAAATATGAACTTGTCTATTTGTAAATAGATTGACTAGGATATAAGCACATTTACTAGGCACTCCTAATTTAACAAGTTGATCAAGCAGACGATCAAGAATAACGTTATCATACGCACCA